GAACTTAATTGAAAACAAAGCAGAAACCCAAAGTCTCACTATACTGAACAAAATATTTTCTAAAATAATACTCAGAAGTTCGTATATGGAGATAATCTAAAAAGGTCAAAATTGTTTTAATAATCTCCTGATATTTGAAGATATGTCCTAAATTTATATGTGGCCTAACCCCAGTAATATGAACTAGCCTGCATAGTAAAAGACTTTCTGGGAAGATGATTTCATTTTTATAAAAATAAATTAGTATTTTTCAAAATTAGTCAAGAATTCCATGTTTTCATGCTATATATAAAACATCAAATGAAAGATAGCTATATAGTAATGATAAAAGTACTTTGTGTAATGGAATTACTTTCTTGCAAAATTATTGGTACTTTTTTTTTTCTGTAACTTAAAATGTCAGGTTCCCAGTACAGTAAGTCACCAGTGTATAGTTGAGGCCAGAAAAAAACCTTTTCCAAGAGAATTTCTACCTTCACCAAAAGGAATCCAGACTGCTGGCCATGAAAATTAAGAGGGTTCTGTGAGATTGTTTGAAGGAACAGATGTCAAATAAAACTCGCAAGTGTTACAGTGTATCTGAAGCAAGTGATTAAATACTTTCAGATTTCACAAGCTTCCACAGTGTAACACATACATCCTTGTAGGGATGACACATGTGTTGGTTACTACTGATTAGAGAGAAGACGAGAGAAGAGTGAGATAATGCAATAAACTCAGCTGGCATGAACTAACTGTATTAAACACAACTATAAACATACTAATGTAAAAAGTTTAAAAGGAAACTGAAGTCAGGAGGCATTTACTCGTGATTGACATAAGTGAACCATTGCAAGATAACTTTCAACTGGTATTAGAGTGGAAAACATAGTAGCAATCTATAACACTGAAAAATAAATTCTATACTCAGTAGCTCCAGTTCCTTTGAACTATGAAAACCGCATTGTTATTTTTACATGCATAAAATCAATAACAATAGACTACTGCAGCGCTGTGACAGGATTGCAGCCCTGACACTGTGTGAGGAATGAAAAAAATTAACCACAATGTTTCCTATCACGGTTTTTCTATAACCATTCAAAACAATTCTATTTTGACCTTTCCCAACTCAAGTAATGCACAGAGGTTCAAGGGTGATCCAGTCATTCATTAAGCAGCCATAATGTAATCAAGTCTAAAATTATTCCCAAGGGTTTCTAAATACCAGAGAAGGATTTGAAGATTCATCTACTCCTGCACCCAAACTAGAGACTGGGAATGAATTATAATTTGTGCATATCTTGAATGTTCATAGAATAGTACATAAATAATTCAAAAAAGCAAGGGTGCTGTTTGCCATTCATTAGATATCTGCTAGAAATTTTTAATGTGCCTAATATACATCAATAAAAGGGAGCAACAAATAATATAGAATCATTAAACTACCATTACTTTGTAGGCTACATTTTGCTATGAAATTTGCCTTCTGAAACATCAAATGAGAACTTGCAGATAGAAATAACAAAGAGAAAAGAATACTTTGAAAATGAGTATGTGGTGCTTTTATTTGCAAGTTCTTTACAATAAAGTTTTAATGAAAAGTAAAAATAAAAATTACCCCCAAAATGGGCAGAGGTATCTAATATGTAATTCAAGCTATAGTCTCATTATCATTATTCATCTCCTAATACACATGGAGGAATTCAATATGTTTGATTTGAAAAAATGAAAACAAGCTGTAGAAGTATAATCTCAAAATAGTGATATAAAATATAACCAAAATATATCTATAACAAAAACGGGTACAGAAGCCCAGGATAAAGAAATGTAACCATTCTTTCTTTGTTTTGCCTTCTCCTTCAGTAAATAACTTTAACAAGTCTTTATAAACTCACATCAGAACTATATGAATAAGTCCCCTGAATAATTTTCCTTGCTTTACCTTATCAGTCTTCTTACATCCTACCCAAAAAACTTTACTTATTCTCCACAAAAAATTAGTATATATTGGCACCAATCTATTTTCAACCATCACTCACTCATTCAGAAACACCAACCTTCCCCCACTCCATCTCTAGCCCCAGTCACACTGATAACATGCTCTTGCATTTCTCTGTCTTGGTTTTCCTGACTTTTTCACTTTGATATACATGATCCTACCCCAAAGTTAGATCACCCACACTTTTCAGACACAATTCACAAAGCCCTGTATACATATCATTTCTCATTACATTTCCTTCTCTATAATATAATTTACTACTTTAACGTTACTGAAAATTTTAAGAATATTTCTTATACCACTTGTTTATATTTTACCCAGTCTGTATCCCCAGATCTCACAATGATCACTGTCACATCTTTCTGAAACAGATCCTCAGGTCACACACGCTGAGTTGAAAACTTACAAGAACAATGCCGGGCGCGGGGAAGGGGGGGATAAAGAGATGACTAAGGAGACCTGACTGCTCTTCTGAAACACCAGGGTTCAATTCCCAGCACCCACAGTGGCTAACAACTGTCTTTAACTCCAGTTCCAGAGGATCTGATGGCCTTTGCTGGCATCCATTGAGCACTGAATACACGACACACAAACATACATGCTGGCAAAACACCAGTACACATAAAATAAAAATAAATAAATCTGAAAAAAAAATTAAAAAAGAATTATGCTGCATAAAATTTGAAGACTAGCTATTCCTAAAGAATAATTTGAACCAAAAATTTTTGAAGAGCTTTTTTTTACTTTAAAATTTCTGAAGATTTAAATATATCTAAGATAGACAGATTTCAAAGTTGTTCTCTTCCAGCAGAAACTATGAGTTTGCCTTGGTTGTCACACTTTTCCAATGATACTTCTCCAAGGATACTCTCACACCAGCACAATTAACTGCAAATGTCTGTTCACTTGCCAGTCTGTACCACTGGCTCCTTGTAAGCAGAAAACTTATGTCTCCTTCCTGGCATGTATGTGCTAGTACCCATACAGTGAAAACTTAAATAATGATTTATCTATCACCATGGTTATCTAAAATAAACAAAATTAAGAATAACCTTTAGTAGGCACATAAATGTTAGGTAAACTTAATTTATAGTCAACTGTGCTGCTTAAAAGGAGGCATACAGCCAAAATTGTAAGAGCTTGATTTCCAAGTATTAACATAAAAACGAATACACAAGAGAAATCCTATGTAAACAATATGTGTTTGGGTTTTGCTTTGTTTATGCTTGTGATTTTAAACATTACAAAACATCATAGAAGAGCTTACACTTCTAAAGAAAACAAAGAGGAATTTTCTACTTTCCACTTTTATTTTTTAAACTACACAATATGTTTAACTTTCAAATTAATTCCTCATCAGCTAAACACACACAAGAAGTCATCTAATGGGACAGCATCTACTGTTGGAGTGAACTGATAGAAACTTTAGACACTAAGACGGACGTAACAGGAAGCAGGAAGGAAAACAGACCATGCAATGGAATTTAAGAGGTTCAATAAGAGAAGTATGCACGTGTGTGCGTGCGCGTGTGTGTGCACATGAGTACTCACATGTGTGTGCCTGCACGCATTCATGTGTATGTGCGCATGTGCATTTGTGCACATGTGTGTACCCACACGTGTACATGTTAATTCCTATATAACAAAGAACAAACTCCTTCTTAATTTAGTATTTCCTAATTTAAATCCTTCTTTCATCTGTGTATGTTCAGCATTCATTTATTTTTGAGGAAAGGACTACTCAGAGGCCTAATCCATTCCTAAAAGGAAGCAATAAAACTCACTTCCCAAAGCACCAGATGGTAATATAAAAAGCTCCTCACAGACTCTCTGGAGAAAGGAGCAGCTCCCATTGGCAGTGTCTCTCGCCATCTCTATGCTTCACAAGTAAAGTACTCAGCTATCCTGGAAGAAGCTGTGCACTGAAAAGCATGTAGGCCTTACCCACCCCCTTTTGTCAGAGTAAAGAAATCTTCTATGAAAGATTTCAAGCCATGTGACTTAAGCATCTTGGTGGTAGAAGGCACTATCTTCTTATCTTCATTATCTAAACACTAAAATAATCTAGCAAATAGTAGCTTTTTTATGACAACCGAGTCAATGAAAACATTTCTTCAAATAGTTCAGACTTACACATTTGACAAAATAACAGCTCTGAAAAGAACAAAAATAATCATTTCTGTATCCCCAGATTGGTATTTTTAATAATAATAGTAATAATAATAAACAGTAAAATAGTGCCTCAGAAAGCTCACTGGTTTTCTATTGGCCCAAGAATAATCTGCTGAGTTACCCACAGTGAGCTGCAAGTAGTCTGGCAGTCTGTCTCCAGAAGAGAATGGAGGCAAAGTGGACACAGGATACAGGGAGTGGGGAAGCCTCAATCCTGTGCTACCTCCTCCAGGCAGGAAGCTGCACAGACACATCTTGCCAAAAATCTAGTTTCTATTTCTCACACACTGGTCACAAAAATATTCTTTTCCCTCCAAAAACCATTTCTCATAAATGTATGCTTCACTACTTTGGGATACCTCCTCTGGGTGTCATCATCTCACTGCACTGTTAAGGAGTTTCCTCCCTGTCATCTGGAGGGTTCTGTCTCTCCCAGTTTCCCCATATGTAGTCTGTGGGCAAATCTCATGCTGAAGCTATTCTTCATTCTTAATTTTAACCTCTTATCTTTCTCTTTCAAAGTTCTCATCTTAATTTAACTTTTCTGTTGAGGCCTTATTTCCTATGTTTTATTATGCTTACTAAATCTTCCAAGCTAATCATTGTTGGGAGTTAGAGACAGCAAGAAGTAGAATCAATAAAAATATCAAAGAAATTGTGATGATGAAAACTAACCTCCCATGAACACATCAAACAACAAAATCAATTCACAACTCCTCTTAACACTTTTTTATCTATCAACAACATATAATAATTAGATTTCATACTTCTTCAACTTCAAGATCAAATCAAGTCAAAAAAAAAAAGAAAAAGAAAAGAAAAGAAAGTTGTGAAACATCCATGTACTTACTTGGGGATATGGGGAGGTCCTGGATTTTGACTTGGCGCTGGAGAGCCGAGACTTAGCCCCCTTCCTGTTGTCAGTGATGGTGGGTGTGGAGCTGCTGGCATAGGAGAAGGTGGGCTTAGAGGCTGAGATCTGGTCCAGGGAGAGCTGCAGCCCTTTGTATTCTGTGTCTCTGCAGGGGTGAAGAACAAAGGCTTTAGTCAGCCACCACAGGGAATAGAGTCATGTAAATCATCAGAAGAGACAGTGCTCCATATATAAAAAGAAAGCAAAAGTTAGTTGTCAAACTGTTTTGCCCCAAACAGCCAGGTTATCCCAGAAAAGCCTCACATTCAACAAATGTGTGTGAATGTGGCTGCCTTCCATTGATTTTATTAAATAGAAGATAAGCCTCTCTATTAATTACTCAGATAAGTACTTCTAATAAAAAACCTAAACAGTAACCTTTCTAGTAGCCCAGGAGAAATCTGCTGAGTTACCCCAGTGAAATTCAGGAAGTCCCGCAGCCCTTCTCCTGTAAAGGATGGGTGTTAAGTGGTGGAGTGAGTTTTCATGCCATGGATGGTACAATATGAATTATTAAACCTACCCTAACGTTTTTCATGTGAGTGAACTCAACAGACAACCAATGCTACCAGATCAACAACAATACTCTTGTGATAAACATTCTAAACATTCTTATAGCTAGCTAGCTTCAAATTAGCTAAAAATCCTTTTCAACAGGATAAGTCAGTCCTCTCAGAGTACATTTTATCACCAGATTTTTTTCCATTCCTTCATTATCTAATAAACATTTGTTGTGCTCCTTATACACCAGATGTTGTGTTACATAGAGATAAGAGAATGAAGATGATAACTATAATGTGTAGTAGACTATAATCTACTCAGGAGAAAAACAATATACATACTGACCTCAGGTTGCTATAAAGAGATCAAGGAACTAATGTTATGAAATCCACTTGGTTCTGACCACAGGTGCAACCCCAAGGCATTTCAGACATCATCAGATATCACTTGAAACTTCTAATTTTCTTCAGAGAGTATCAACCCTTCCCTCTAGTCTCTCAAAATAATTTTTTCAAATAGTCTTCTTTATCACCACTTGTTGGAGAAATTGCTTAAGAATTCCAGAATTCATTGGAATGTGCCAAGGTAACTGACTGATTCTTTTCACTCTCTAGAATACTATGAACTATTTATCTCATGATATTTTGCTGCTTTGTACTAGAGGTTTAAAAAAAGCCTTAAGTCTAATTTGCAATCCCCTCTAGAACACTTATGAAGCATTCATACAGGCATTTTGTGCAAATCTACCAGCTTCTTCTATTTTTTTTATCTTACTTTTACTTTCTTCATTTATCCTTTGATCATTTTCCCTTTTGAGAAGACTAGCAAAATCAAGCAAATTGGAAAATATAATTAATTACTTCAAAATTACTGTGAGAGTTTTTTTTAAGTGTTCTTACTATGAAAAACAAACATTATAAGTATGTGAGCTAGTGTATAAACTACATATGCTTAATTTAGCCACTACACAATATACACCTATATCAAGAACCCCAGTACATGCTATAAATACATGCAATTTACTTATCAACTCAAAAAGGCAAAAGCATAATTCTGACCAGGAGTCTTTCAAGTGAAAAGGAATGGAAACCCAATGAACCAGTTTCAGTATTATCGCTGGCATGCAATGGCACGGATCAGCAAACTACAATAGCATGCCATCAGACAGTCAGCATCTGTTAGAGTGAAAATCTTTCTTTTTTACTTAGACAAAAAAAGGGGAAACATTGCAGAATATTCCTTTACACTGTGTGAAGATGTGTCACTGTGATTGGTTTAATAAAGAGTTTAATGACCAATAGCTAGGCAAGAAGAGGTCACGTGGGACTCCTGGGGACAGAGAGGTCTCAGGGAAGAAGAAAAGCGGGGTTGCCAGCCGGATGCAGAGAAAGCAGGACATGAAAGCGGAGAGGTAAAAGCAATAAGCCATCTGACAGCATACAGACAAATAGAAATGAGTTAATTTACGTTATAAGAGATAGTTAGAAACAAGCCTTAGCTAAGGCCAAGCTTTCATAACTGATAATAAGGCTGGCAGTCCAAAAATTCCTGCTACATTTGGTGTCCAATGTGGGGGCTTGAATGTCTAAACATAGGGCCTGAGAAAGCTAAGAAAAGTTCCGGATAAGGATCTGGATGTGGCTTTCTAGTCTTGCAGTCTCTCAGGTGGGCTGGTACACACAGGTGTCACTGCTGCTGCTGCTAGAGCCAGCCACCAGCACCATGTGCTAAGCTGAGCCATGTGGCATTTGACATGGCAGTTTAAGATTGGTCTCAGGTGGTCAGAGAATGCAGCAGGTGGGAAAAAAAAAAGACAGATGGGAAAAAAATCTCTATAGAGGTTACAGTATGTTTTTAAAATGTGTGTTTTAAATTAGATTTAAATTAAAATGTGTGGCTTAAAAAAGAAAATGGGTATAAACAGTCATAGAAAAAAGTAGTTTATAAATGATAAGATCAAGTCTTTAAAGAGAGAATAAAATAATATAAAAAGAATAAGCCATGTAAAAATAGAAAACACACAGAGAGTCTGGATCTTTTATGGTATCTTGTTGATTTTGAATTTTTTGATTGCTGATGAGTGAATGACAGCTGCTGAGAGACATGGGATTTTAAGAGGAACTGCTAAATTAAACCAGCCTAGATACTTTAGGAATGGCTTAACTTTAAAATGGAAGTCAGAAAATGTATTACTTTGGGAAAGAGATTATACTTTCTTTTCCACAGAAAACGAAAAGCTGTGGATTCATTCAAGGTTGGTAGAGATCAGGTTTGTTCAGGGGAGATGCCCTGAAAATCTTGACTACAGACAAAGAAATAAACATAGAAAAACTGCAAGACAGAGCAAGAGGACCACACACCAATGAAAAACAGGTGGCCCAGATCATCTAGCCTCTCAGAGTGCCTCTATTACAGTTTCCTCAAAATTCTACATCCAGAACAGCTTAAAGGTGGTTAGCTAATATGGTCCAGCCTCACAGAATACTCCATCCAAGACTGCAGATGAGCCTTGTGCTTTTCCCATTGCACAGAGACTGGACAACAAATGTTATGGCTATTTTTTTTCAGGGCTTAACCATTATCTCAATTTTCTCAGGTCCTCTAAAGATACCATCATCCCAGATAACAGGAAGCAGTCTAGAGAACACAATGCCTACATTCCCAAGAGGTGGGGTGGGTGATTTTGGGGCATTCAGTGAGTTATAGATGTTTGTCATCATTTAGGTGGTTGCTTACAAGTTGCTATTGGCAATGGTCAGAAATCAAAAACTAAGCAAAGGAAATTAGATTCAGGGATCTCTTTCTGCAGGGAAAAAGGAGTATATACTGTAGAAATGATGGGATAAAGGGGTAGATTGTTGAGTCTACTTTTAAACAACAACTAGTCTCAAATATTTTACATTGGTATGGATTTTTCTATATTGGTACAAATTTAAGGTTATTTTTGTTATTCTGTGCATGTGTTTCTATTCTTGTTTAAGGTATTGTACCTATGCAGCTCATTTCATTTAAAAAGATAATGTTAAAGTTTTAGTCCTTGAAAACTGTTTAGGAAAATAAAGAACAGGTTAATAGTAAGTCATTACAACAATCAAACATATAGTCATGTTAGGTATGTTTTCAAGGTCTTACAGAGCTATTTTTTAGACAGATAGATGATCTTCAAACACTTCAAAGACCTACAGAATATGGCATTTAAAATGTTTTAATAACATAAGGCTTTCCAAGACAGTGAGACATGTCTGCTCCTGACAGCACTAATCTACTTCAAAAAGTATGATGGGCATTGAAGAACCTTCATATAGAGTTTACTTTTATTGTGTCAAAGTTAGCTACCAGAAAAAGAAACTGCCCTTGCCTTAACTGCTGAAAGTACACTGTCCAAATTACAAGCAGGACACAAAAGAAAGTGACTCGAACTTTGCCAAGACAGGGTAGGACAGTCCTTCAAAAAATCCGGCTTCACAGAAATGTCTGTCAGATATTCTTTTTTTGTTTTGTTCTGTTTTTTGTTTTTCGAGACAGGGTTTCTCTGTGTAGTTTTGGTGCCTGTCCTAGATCTCATTCTGTAAACCATGCTGGCCTCAAACTCACAGAGATCGGCCTGGCTCTGCCTCCCGAGTGCTGGCATTAAAGGCATGTGCCACCACCACCCAGCTCTGTCAGATATTCTAAGCCCATTCTAAGCTGAAGATGGATGCCCCAACATTACAGAGGAACCTTGGGGTGACTGTTCAGGCAACCAGATGTCTCTGTCGTTTCTTAGTTTGGGAAGTTGCTTGCTCTACACTTCCTGTTTACTCAGGTAATATTATATCCTTCTCAGATCTCTGATGGGGCTGAAGATTAGATAGTCAAAAATTATAGTTACAGTTTACGTAAGTTATGATAGAAATTGAATTGGGTACAAAACTTTGGACTCACCAAGAAAAGATAGATAACAGAGCATTTTCTCTGAATTTGCCAAATACTAATGGACTGGACATTGTGAATGTATTTCTTACTTGATAATTATTTTTATTGTATATAGCTTTGCATTGTTAGAGTTAAAACCCTTTCCTTTTTATTTAGACAAAAAGGGGAAAATGTTGGGAGATATTTGATGGCACTGTGTAAATATATGTCACTGTGATTGGTTTAATAAAAAGCAAAACGGCTAATAGCTAGGAAGGAGGTATAGCCAGGACTTCTGGACAGAGGAAGCTCTAAGAATAAGAATGGTGGTGTCACTAGCCAGATATGGAGGAAACAGGATGGGCAAAATGGTAATAAGCATGTGGAAGAATATAAATTTAAAAATGTGTGTTAAGGTACAAGAGCTAGTTAGAAGCAAGCCTAAGCTAAGGCTGAGCTTTCATAATTAGTAGTAAGTCTCTGTGTTAATTTTGGGGTTAATCGTTCAAAAAAGCCTGCTACAAGCATCTTCATCTACACACTCCACGTCTGTGGAGCCACATAACATTGGATTGAGAATATTTTAATTACATATGTCCTGAACCATATACAGGCTTTTTTCCCCATTGTTCCTTATATAACTACACAGCACTTACATTATTTTAAGAATTATAAGTACCTAGAAAACATTAAAGCATATAGGGAGGTGTA